TGGCAATAGAACACATAGTGGAGTTATTAGTGTTCTCAGGCTGCCACAAGTAACAGTTGTATTTAGATCTGATTCCTTTCATTACAACTTCTTGTTTTTCATTAATTACAAGACATTCAGATTTTGAGAAGATGACCTTGAATCCTAGATCACATAATTGACTGATACTAATGAGATTAGCATTCAGGCCTTTTACCAATAGTACTTCATTCAGATTTGGAACTCCAGGGCAGTCCAAATTACCAACTCCTTTGATTTCACCTCTAGCACCATCTCCAAAGGTCACATAACTAGTGGTGTGAGGTTTAACATTATTGAGAAGGTTCTTGATTCCAGTCATGTGCTTAGAACACCCACTGTCAAAGTACCAGTCTTCCTTTGCAGAGACTCTCAGGGAAGTGTGGGCTATCAGGGCAGTAGCCTTTTTCTTCCATTGAGGATTATGTGGTACCCTTTTAGGTTTAACACCTGGGTTCTGATTAGGGTATCCATACAATCTGAAGCAGAAAGGCTTAATGTGACCATACCTCCCACAATGATGACATCTCCATCTTTGGTACCTTTTCTTCATATATCTCTGTTCCTGATGTTGAGAGTTGTGTTGAGACATCTGCTTTGACATTTGTTTATCAGACCCGATCTTCTTGTCTGCACCAGATTTCTTTGCTTCCACAAATCCTAGTCCAGACTTGTTTCCCACATTTTGTCCAACCTGAAGGATTTCTTCCAATTTGTCAGTTCCATTTGTCAGCATCTTGACAGATTTGGTCATCTGGTTCAGTTGTGAGTTCAGCAATTGAACTTCCCCTTCTAGATGACTTATAGTTTCAAGGTCTGCCCTTTTTTCAGCTTCCAACTTTATGATGAGCTTTGTTTGTCTCTCATTTTGCACACAGACTTCAGCACTTCTGATACATAATTTCTTGTAAGTATCAGCCAGTTCTTCAAATGTCACTTCCTCATCACTAGTGTCACTTTTAGAGGAACAAACACCAGTTAGTGCAGTAACTAGTTTGGCAGATTCTTCTTCAGAATTACTTTCTGAATCACAGTCATACTAGGTAACAGTCATTCCTTTCTTTTGTTTCTTAAGAAAGGTAGGACATTCAGCTCGAATATGCCCATATCCTTCACAACCATGGCATTGAATTCCTCTGCCTTGATTTCCCTTCTCTTCTGACCTTGGTCTTCTGCTGGAACTGTCAATGTCAGATGGGATGTTATGAACATTAGACCTTGACTTTGGATCTAATCTTTTGATGAGTTTGTTGAATTGTCTTCCAAGCATGGCTATAGCTTCTGGAATATTTTCTTATTCATCCTCCTTGTTTTCATCTTCAGTGTTGGATACAAGTGTTATGCTCTTGTTCTTTTTGTCAACATTTTCAGTGATCCCCATCTCAAAAGTCTGAAGAGACCCAATGAGTTCATCCATTTTCAACTTGCTGATATCCTGGGCTTCCTCTATAGCAGTTACCTTCATTGAAAATCTTTTAGGCAAGGATCTGAGAATCTTTCTCACCAGTTTTTCTTCTGACATCTTTTCTCCCAATGCTCCTGAGGTGTTGGCAATCTCCAAGATGTTCATGTGAAACTCATGAATGGTTTCATCTTCCATCATTTTTAGATTCTCAAACTTGGTAGTCAGCATCTGAAGCCTTGACATTTTTACTTTGGAAGTGCCCTCATGGGTAGTTTTGAGAGTGTCCCAAACTTCCTTGGCCAGTTCATATTGATGTACTAGTCTGAATATGTTTCTATCAATTCCATTAAACAAGGCATTTAAAGCTTTGGAATTACCCAGGGCTAACTCATCTTCTTCTTTACTCCATTCTTCCTCAGGCTTCAGACTGATTGTCCCATCTTTCTCAGTTATGGTGGGATGGTTCCATCCTTTGTCAGCAGCTCTCCAAGCCTTTTTGTCCAGAGATTTTAAGAAGGCAATCATACGAGGTTTCCAGTAGTCATAATTTGTTCCATCCATAATGGGTGGTCTATTTCCAAAAACTCCTTCTTTGTCCATAGTGCCAGAAAGTGATATCCCTAGATCTCACCCAGTAATACAGGCAGGGTGCCTGCTCTGATACCAATTGAAATTCTGGCTGCAGATACTCAATGTCACAGTCAATGTTATGACACCGTATCTGACTTTCTAAGACAGTAAATACAAAAACAGTAAAGAACACAGTCAATTGTTTACCCAGTTCAGTGTGAAATAACACCTACTCTGGGGGCTACCAAGCCAGGGAGGAAATCTACTATAAGAGATATTAATTCAGGAATAAACCAACCAGTTTATCTCCTTCACTTAAGACCTACCCAATGCAACTTCAATCTAAGTTCTACTTAAACCTGAGTTCCTACTCACTCCCCCTCAATCACAGCAGTGATACTTAAAACAATTGACTAATGAATTAATGAAGACACTCTTCAAAACATACACTTGATTATGCTTCACAGCTTTTTAATCAAGTAACACAAACACTCTTGCTTCACAGCTTTGAGTGATACATAAACCTAACTTGACTTTGCTTCAAAGCTTCAGTCAAGAGACACAAAACACTCTTGCTTCAAAGCTTTGAGTGGTATAAAAACCCTTACAAACAAAACCTATTCCAAGTCACTTATCACAATGATAATTGCTTGGATTACAGCAGTTAAAACTATACAGTTTCTGATTGATCTTCAGTCCAAAGAGTTGTTTTCCAAACAGCAGACCTGTTGAATATATAGCAGCTGTTTCTTCAGTTAGGGTTTCCACAAAAAGCTAGGGTTAATTAGGTTTAACCATAAGACTTGGTCACAAGACTTTATCAACCAGTTTAGGGTTGAGCTAGGTTAACCCAAAGACAACGGGAGATTCTGTTCTGGAAGGACTGAGCCAACTTCCTGAAAAATCTCAGAATTAACCAAATTGCACTACTGTTAGATCAGTACAGGATGTCTTAACATTTGTTATGACATCAGAATTCCTGTTTACTGAGAAGATAATAAATGTGATCTTTTTGCAAAATGCTCAGATACACACTCATAAACAGCAGTACCTGTATGCCACTATTTTTCTGCAAAGGTACCTAATAAACCAGTACCTAATAAATCAGAATGTTATGACATTAGTCATGACATTCACACACCTGGTTTTACCAAAAATGCATGCCAATAACTAAACACCTACAGTCATATATAAAAGAATTTTGTGAGATAAAAATATCCTACAACTTTTCTTCTCGTTGGGACTTACAAAGTGTAGGCCATCCCATAATTTTTCTTCCCGTCTTGACGGGTCAGTAATTGCATCTTTGAATTTTTTCCTAACTTTTTTAGACACAGTTGCGGGATATTTTTCACTTAACAACTTTCTTTTCAAAAATTTTAAATTTCTCTCCATCTGTTACAAAATGGAAAAAGTTATAATTTTTTTATTTAAAAACTATGTTGCGAGGTGAAAACACCCCACAAGTATGTTTGTAGTGATTACTCTCTTACTATGCATTTATGATCAATCAAATACACCAATAATAAACAAAAATAATTTTATAAAAAATATTATTCTTTCATTTATCACATTTTATTAATCCGTGTGAAATAACGCTCTCTTAGAATTATTTTGAGACAAATTGAATAGATTTCATTAAACAAAGCAAACAATTTTCTTAACGGCATTTTGTAGACTCACACATGATACTTTGCCTACGCCTTACATTTTTCATCCATTTAATGAAGAAAAATTATACAATTAATTTAAGACTCATTCATCCATTTGAGATGAGAACAAAATCAAATGTACAAATTCTTTGGTTTCGTCATGAAAATCACGTGTGCCCATTACTTTAGAAGATTTTGTTTGGTCAGAAAATAATGTTAATTTAGAAGTCCTTATGGAAAAATATTGAAAAACAATCACAATCCCAACATGAAATTGCACAATACATTTACCACATTAATTTACAACTATTTTCCTAACAAATCGTATCTCGAACATATATTCTTTTGGTGATTTGACTACTTCATTCCTATTCGATGAATGAAATCGGCGAGCATAGCACAAACAATCGAGTATAGACATAAACAACATCGCGAAAGACTTCTAAAGTAACAACTGTCACAGATGTCACAGATGTTTCAGTAATTTACAATGTGCAACTAAAACTATGTGATTTGTTTAATGAAGAACTTATACAACATCGAGCTGCTCTGTTAAGTTATAAACTCTCAATAAGGATACATTTAATGAAGGATTTGAGATTTCTTTCCTCCTTAAATAACATTTAAAAAATCAGTATGTCACTATGTTGAAAATAAATATCTAGGTTGAAGATGTTAAGCCTTGTAGAATCAGCCAAGCTACAATGGACTCGTTAAAATGCAACCTCCTGCAACCAACACATACAAAATAGTAAGTCAAAGTATACATACAAAACAGCCATCTTTTGATCCCTCTTTTTTTATCCGGTAATAACCACTAGAAACTCAAACACAAGCGTGAGAGTCAGGGTTTGAACCCTTGAAATAACATGAAATGGTAAAATAACTGATTGCTTCATTTACAAGGTAAAGTAATTTTTTTGACCAATATGTCATTATTGTGGTAGGAGTTAGGTGGAATGCATAATTAATGTAAGTAGTTGAAATATAAATAAATAAATATATGTTGGGAAAATGTAGTTAATACTCTCAGATATTTTGAAGTGACAAACAATTTGAGAGCAACAAATATTCTAAGTATAGTACTATGATATAAAGTGAGTAGATACTAGATTCTATAAGTAACATTGGTTTTTAATGTATTTTCCCAAACTTATAAACCAATTTAAGGATCTAAAATAAAAGCTAAGATTAACGTAACTTTAAGGAGGATTAGATTTGTTACCTTGCTGGATTTCTTTTCCCGGGGAGAATCAGATTAGAGTCTTCAAAATTGACATACATAGAGACAGCTGCAGATGAAGGAAAGATTACGAAATTTACTTGAACCCGGGTTTCTCCTAGTACCGCTTGTGCTACAATGAACTCAGCAAAGCAAGGAACTCCTGGGGTTCTTCATTCTCTTTAACAATCTATGCCGGAAAAGAATAATCACCAACATGAGAAATGAAAACATCACAAAAAACTAAAGTGCATGAAGTGTAATTCATCAATCTTCCATGAGGAAAAAAAATGAACGGCAGATTATAACATATAACAAAACAGGCTAACACAACGGATGATAAATACTTTCCAAACGCAGGCCAACCAAAAATCTTATAAGCTGAACGAAAATTGAGTAAATTTCAATCCAAACTTACATTAAGTGTAGTCTATGAAGTAATGACACAAACATCAGATACCATTCACAACACTGACACAACAGAAAAACGTAATAATTTGAGGAAATAAAATATGAAATAATTTAAGTATGGTGCTACATAGGGTTCAGTTAGAAAATTCATTGCCATTTTTGGGAGCCGGAAAAATACTAAAACTTTTCTGGTATAAAAAACATGAAATCAATTCCCTTTCATTTAATTTAAACAAACTGAAAGATCGGATTATATACCTTAGTAACTGTATTCTTCGGCAAATTAAACTGAACAAGAAGATCACAGCCAATTCGGTTCCAGTCAACAGTTCCAAGAAAATCAGACTCTCTATCACTATCTAACCAATCCTGTGAAGAAGCGTCCAGTTTGAAAGAGCTCCCTACCCATAGATATAAAATATTTCCTGCCTGCATAAGTATACTTGGAGAGAATATGACAAAAGCAGCCTCAGAACTCAAATGATTTGAAGCAAATGTCTCGATCTTTTCTAAACTAGGCCAGCGGTATGCTAAAGTTTGTGTCCTAGTACATTGCAATGAGCCACTCTCAATAGTTCCCTTTGACGCGGTAGACTTCAAATTTTCTCTTGACAAACTATCTACGGAAGGCTCAGCTCTGTCTTTGACATGATGATGATTGGTGGACTCGAACAAATAGTCTATACTGTCTGAATCTTGTACACAGCTAAATTTGCTGTTACTGAGAACACCGTGTTCCCGACCAGCACAAATAGTTGATGGATTATCTATTACTTGAGTCTTATCGTTCATTAGAGGCAACTTCAAAGACTTTGATAAGCTACCTCTGCGTTCAGCAATGGAAGTCGATGATTTTTTTGATGGTAAAGAGGCAGACTGAGAAGATGGATTTGATAATTTGACATCATAGATATCTGTACAGTTAGACACTGCTAGAGATGTAGAATTTGACGAGAGGGACAAATTAGAGAAGTTAGACAAAGATGAAGATACCGGAACGGGAGCAAAAACTAGAGAGGAAGAATCTGGGGACAATTCTAACAAAAACTTTGAGTGATTGCTAGAATCAGAAGAAACGGAATCTGGAGAGACAAAAGGCGGTGAAGAGGATGATGATAAAGATGATGTTGTTGACGACGCTGATGGGGATGGAAATGAAATTGAAGATGCATGAATACACAACACGGAATCTGAATAAACCCGCGGTAAGGATAATTTAGGGGCTGAGACAAACTCCTTCACATTTGCGGAGGAATCTTTCCGTCTTAAAACACTCCAGCTACTCTCTCTTGCAGGAAGATGGGTTTCATGTTCATTTTCTGATGACGCAAACGGAGGCACAAAACCTCCCACGATGGCTTTTCCAAAAAATTCGAAATCAACATTGTATGCATCTACTTTCCTCTCACCAGGGAAATTTTTAAAACTTGTTTTGCTACTTTCTACTCCACTTCCAGATATGTCCATCAAAGGCAAAAACTTCGAAAAAGCATCCCAAAAAGAAGGTGGTTCCTCACCTTCCTTAATCATAATAATAGATCCTTGCACTCTCTCATACCGGACAATCTGTCCCGCAGCCCCTCTGGCATCCCTTTCCATGATAGCCTCACAATTCTTGCCAATCCAAACATATATTGCAGATGGAATATGCACTATAAACGCACCCCTAGAGTCAAGCGCAGACGAAGACGGATCAGTCAACATCTTCGGAACAAGATGCAAAGGATCATACGGTGAGTGAGGAGCAATCCTATACATTCTCAACAAAGAGCTAGGACTAAGCGGAAACGCATGAACCCTTTTCTGACACTGCAACAATTGACAAGCGAAACCCATATTCGGATCAGCAATACCTCTCGCCGCCTTCACAAACTGAAAAGCATCATCGAAACTCTGCCCTTCCCTCCACATAAGGTAAGCAATAACAAGAGAAGTCGACCTCGACACCCCTTGACAACAATGAACAAACACCCTCCCATTCTTTTCCCTAACATCCTCAAAGTAATCAAACACGTCGTACAAAATACTAGTTATATCCTCACTAGGACTATCTTGTAACCACAAAGTTCTATACACAAAATCAGCTTTGAAATACTCCGGACACACAAAACCTACACAATTCAAAACATGAGTAATCCCATTCTTTTTCAAAATACCCCTATCCTTAGCAACAGCATCACCACCAAGATAAACATGATCAGCAACTTTAGAACACTCCTTATCGAAAAAAGCAATCTTATCTCTCTTCACAAGCCCCCCATTACTCCTACCATCATGATTACTATTCTGCTGAATAGAAGACAAATCAAGTTTCAACCTTTCACCATTATTATTATTAACACTACTACTATTACCATTACCATTACCTCTACCACCACCAGGAGTAATCGGCGGTTGCGGCCACTCCCCGATATCATCAGAACTCGCCTTCGGCCACTCGTCCAAACTCCGGCGAGCAATCGAAAGCGGCTGAAGTGGCGGCAAACACGACGACCTCGCCTTACAATTCTGCTGGCTCCTCGGCGTCAATGGAGGCGGGGGAAATCTCCGGTTGGTATTATTATTATTCCCTTCACCTGAATTTGAATTGGGATCAGCAAAATTCGACTCCGGTTCATCGGAGGAACGAGCAGACGACCACGAAGCTGAGCGCCAAAACATTTTCCGGTTAGACGAAAGGTGGCACGGAGGTCGAGCATCGTCGTCACCCACCATGCCAAATCGGTAGGTAATCGCAACAATTTGATGGGTTTTGTAGAAAGATTGAAACTTGTTGAGAGAAAACAGCACAAAATCAAACCCTAACACTATCTCTTAACCCTAGAAACTAGGTTTTCTGAAATGGAACAATACGGTGCGCATTGATGGGAATTTGTGAAATTGAAGCAATCTAATGATGAAGGAATTGAAAGAGGAAAGAATATAGATAGATTTTGAGAGAGAATTTAGTGATGAAATGAGGTTTGAGGATTTTGAAGTGAAAAAATGATAATGGGAATTGGGAAGAAAGAAAGAAAAATTGGATTTTTTTTATTTATTTTGATTTTATTATTTAGTTGAGTAGTACTAAATTTTAATGAGTGAGGGTCTTGTTATTTATATATTTATATTATTTTTTTGGTCAAAAGAGATTAATTTTTTATGCCTTTTGGGATTGGGTTTTCTTTATAAAAAATTAGATGGTGTTTCTTCCTCAAGGGTAAATGTCTTTACAGTTCAGATTGGATTGAATTTAAAGTAAAAATTTATTCGATTTAAAGATAAATTCACTTACGATTTGATTCGATTTTAAATTATATATTAAAAAAAATCTAATTCAATCTGATTTAATTTTATACAATTTAATTTGAATCGATTTTTAGATATTCAAATTACACATTATATTTTTATTAATATTATAAAACTACTAATAAATCATAAATTTAATATAATATATAGTATATTAAAAGTTAATATTACAAAATGAGAGTGATCGATTATAGTTGAAATAATAAAAATAAATAGATTATACTAAACTATAAATATTATTAAAAAAAATTATTATCATCTAATAATAAATTTATATAACATACTATATTAATAAAAGTAAATAAGTATAAAAATATATATATGCAGTTCGGTTTGGTTTAGATCGATCTTAAAAAATTCATCTGAAATCTGATTCGAATTGATCGATTTTTATAAAATGACATCCAAACACATTCAATAAATCTCAATTTTTTATAATTTTCAATTTTTAGATCTATTTTTTATTTTTTATTTAGATTGGTTTCAATTTAAACACCCATAAAAAAAAATTTAACATAATGATGGTCAATGAAAATTGAAAACTTAATGTAACCTATGTGTATTAATAAGAATATAAAGTAATTTGACCAATAAAAAAAGAATAATAAAGTACTAATAATTATATGAAAAAGTTATAGTCAAACATGTATCTTATTCAAATGGATATATATTGGACGTTTATAGGAAAATAATAGGGAAAAAAATACTTTTTTTATGAATATATTCAATGTTTCATTTTGGTATAAATCTTTATGAAAGATTGAACTTTTATATTAAAGTTTTAGTAGGTGAAACCTAATAAATTAAAAAGAAAAAGTTAAATGAAAAGGGAGTGGAATGGAGTTTTTTTAGTGTGAGAAAGCAATAAATATTTTTTATAATAATTTTTTTAAATTATCTTTAATTTGGTGTACAGTGTATGATAGAAATAGATAATAATAAAATATAAGAGTGGTAAAATAGGCCGTCTATCTTATATAAGTTTTTTCTTGGATAAACACGTTTAAAAATAAAGTGGAGTAAGATTGGTCAACTTAGACGTTCGAGCTCAAAAGTTAAGTCAATTCTGTATATTAACGAGTTAGTGGATCACTCTGTCAATTTTTTATTTTATAATTTGATTTACAACATAATTTAGAAAAAAAATTAATTATTACTTAAAAGGTCAAGAAAAGACATTTTTTGACAACGCATAATAGAACTTCAACATGTTTTAAGTCTAAACAATTTAAAAAATAAAATAAATAAATATCAATTACAACAAAAAAACTCAAGCACGATAAAAAAAAGTAGGGTTAAATGTATTTTACTCTCTTGTAATAATAGCGAGTTTTGATTTACCTCCCTTTTAAAAATAAATAAAAAAATAGTCTCTGAACAAAACAAAATTCACTCCAATTTGACATTGGGTCAAGATTCCAGCAGAATCTGCATACATACGCTTGACGTCGCTTTTTTATTTTTTAATTTTTAATTTTTTTTAAACTCAATGTGGAAATTCGACTATTTTTTTAATATTTTTTATCTCATTAATTTGATACATTAATTTTGTGTGGTACTTAATTTTTTCGATAGGTACTTACTTTTATTTTTTTGGACGGTCGAAAATATGAATCTAATAGTATACACGATCGAAAGCATAGTATACACGTGAGTAGAAAATACGAATCTAATAAATTAGTAGTTAAACTACATTGTATTTTGTTGAAGTTTTTTTCTTCTTCTGAAAATAAGTAATATATAAAAGGAGTATTGTGGATACTCAACCCCACTTACAGTAAGATTCTAAACTATTTAAAACACGCAATTGAGTCCTTATATAAATTATTATATTTATCTATCTCCAATAACTAATAATTCAGAATACGTATGAGAATCTAATAATAATGTCCAAATAATAATAACTTAGACTAAATATTTTAGAGACTAATTAATTTTACACTATCACCCGATTAGAATTAAATTCTTTTCATAACTATTTCTTTCATTTTTTTTACATGTTAAAATAATTAATTTTAATTGGATAACAATATAAAATAGTTTTAAATTGAAAGTGTATTTTAATTAATCTTAATATTTTATTATATAATGTGTGCATCACAAAAAAAAATTGCTAACAAAGTAATTCATAATTTTCATCGGATTGTTTTTTATATTGACCTTAATGTTATTTTTTTATAGTGTTCATTATTTTTTTCTAAAGCTTCAAATGATAATTTCTTTATTAGAATTATGTCAAGCGTTTGTTTAAAGTTGTATTATCGATGGTTCAACTCGATCAAATTGTATTTTATTCAACCATCAGTACCTATGAAATATTCTCAATACTCGATCTTCGTCACCCTCCTGTTGTCGAAATCAGAGAGCAAACCATTCAACATTTGTCGGTAAAATCTTGACCGTCCAAAAAAACAAAATTAAATACCTATCGAAAAAATTAAATACCACACAAAATTAATCTATCAAATTAACATGGAATAAATAAAACAAAATAATAAACTTGTCCAAGTGGGAGAAAATAAAAAAATTTAAAAGAATTTAAAAAAAATTAAAAAAAAATTAAAAAAAATCTAAAAATTTAGAAAAAATAATAAAAAATAAATAAAAATAGTCGAATTTCCATGTGAAATTTTAAAAAATAAATAAAAAATAAATAAAAAAAGTCACGTCAAGCGTCACGTATACAGATTCTGCTCGAGTCTTAACCTAAGGTCAAATTGGAGGAAATCTTGTTTTATTGAGGGGCTAAAAAAATATTTTTTTTAAAAGAGGGTAAATCAAAACTCGCTACTATTGCAGAGGTAAAATGCATTTAGCCCAAAAAAGTATCAAAGTAAATAAATAAATAAACAATACATATCATCATAATCCTATTTAAAAACTAACTACTAAAAGAACTCAATTTATAATTTACACAAACCCAACAATGATAACAATTACACTGCCTAAAACATCCCAGTGTAAAAATAATAGTATATAAAATATCAACACCGAATTTTTTCATTGTGTACACCACTCTTATATTGACTAATTCCTTAATAGTTAAATCTTAAATTTGTCACAGGTATACATTAATCAAATCCTTCCTTTTCTTAAAATCAACATTTATTTCTAAAGAAAATATTTAAGCTAATGTATTGACAACTTAATAATTATGTATGTGATATAATTGTTCTTTTATTTCAAGTTTTTTCAATCAACGCATGTATTAGAAAGTTATAGAAAGAATTTTATAATTATAATTCAATTTGTGTGTATAATAATTTATAATACAATTCAATCAATATAATCCTAAGAGAAAAGTGTTGATTTAATTATTAAAGTTGTTTTAATTCTAAGTAAAAAAAATAAAAAGTTTTAACAAAAAATCTGAGGGCAAAACTCAATTGCCCCGCCTTGACCCGCTTTTTTAAGTGGGTTAGGTAGGACGGGTCAACTTAAAGTTTTGAGCCTAAAACCTCAGCCTAGCCCGCCAAAAATGAAGGGTCAAATGAACCAACCCAACAGACCCGATCCGTTTTGCAATCTTTATATATATATATATATATATATATATATATATATATATATATATATATATATATATATATATATATATATATATATATAGTCAGAATCAAATGACATTAAAGTGTTAAGGTGTCAAATTTAATATTATGATGCTTCTGATAAATCTTTATTGTATATTTATATAACAAAATTTATCATTGAGTTTAAAGATATTATCATATAGATCATGCCTACAAAATTTAACATGAATCGAAAGTTATTTGATATGTTAAAGATATAGATCAAAATTAAACTTTTTAATGAAATTTCGTAAGACATTAATTTTTATACATCTCATTGAGTTATCAAATGATTATAGATTGATATTAAATTTTATAAACAGATCTATAATTTTGAATTTAATGATTGATTTTGTTATAAGAATATCGGGTAAAAATTATGAGAGATGTTATAATATTAAATTTGACAACTTTGTATCATTTGATCTTGATCTTATTATATTATTATTATTATATTATTTTATATATTTGATAACATGATATAATATATATTATTTTCAAATTATAAAAGTATTTTAGTAAAAAAAAAAGATATTTTGTAAAGAAAATAACTTTAAATAATTTTCAAATTATAGTAAATAAAAAAGATTTCAAAAATTTAAAAGTAATAAAATAAATTTTGATACCTATTATCAAATTCAATTGACATTATTACATAATAAAAAAATAATAACTTTTTGCCCATAATAAAACAAAAATAGTTTTTTGTAAAAAAATCACGACCTCTATTATATATTAGATATGTCAATTAAAGATATGATATAATATGTAAAAATAATAAAAATTATTACCATTTTTAAAAAATTAACTTATACATATCTACAATTTACTTGCATTAATATATTACTCATTTAAATT